AAAGGACCCCCAAACTCTGGAGTCCGCGGGCCTGGGTTCAGCGCTTGGCTCTCTGCGTGACCTCCCCCAACTTAGAAACCTCTCTGTGCCTCAGTTTCCTCCCTTTTCAGTGCCGATGATAAATGACCCCTCTCGCTGGGATTGTGATGCAGGGTCAGAGGAGGAAGGAGAAATACCTTAGCCAGAGTCTCCCTGCACTGTAAATGTTAGGGAGCGTTCAAATTGGGGGTAGGCACCAGTCATAGACAGTCAGTAAGGACCGGGGAGAAGGGTTCCTTGCTGGCCACAGCCCACAGTCTTGCAGACCAAGAGTGAGGATCCAGGGTCTCCGAAGGCCTGGTCTTTGTGGGGACAGAGTGGCAGAAGGTTTGACTCGGTACTTTGTTGGAACATTGGGGTCCACAGAGGTCTACACTGGGAGGGCTGGTGCCCAGGCTCCAGGCCAGACCTTGGGTGTGTGGGTCTGATGGGGAGGGACAGCTGTCCCAAGACAGCAGGCTGCAGGGGTCCCAGCCCCAACCTCTGTCCTCTGGAGACCCAGGTGAGTCTGCAGCGGCAGCGTGGGGAGCCTTTGCACTCAGGGCCTCTGGCCTGCTCCACTCTCAGGGCTTCCAGTGGCTGAAGGCTGCCCACGCGGCCCTAGAGGAAGAGTACCTGGAGGCCTGCAGGGACCAGCACCCGACTTGGCAGCCGGCCTGCTCCGAGGGGGCACCTGAGAAGTTTGATCCTGGCAGGTATGTGCTGGGGAAGAGGGCCCCCAGGAGATTGATGGGGCATCTCGCAGGATGCTGTGTTACCAGGAGGGGACAGAGAAATCCAATCCCAATTAGCAACAGATCTGAGTGGTAGGTGACTGGGACCCCAAGATCTGTGTATCTTTGAGCACCCTGCAGTGAGCAGGACCATGGAAGGCGGGGTATCTTACTCCAGGCCCCCACGGGAGACCTCTTTCTTCCAAGTCATGGAGAAAATGCCCATGGCGGCACGAGGTGGGCCTCGGGGGGCTTCCTTGTGGCCTCTGTGCCAAAGCCTGGCCTCCCGGACTCATCGAATATGCAGCGGCTCCAGGACCCCGGTGTGTGTCCCTGTGCAGGGAGCTGGAGGCGGAGATATTCCAGCTGGGAATTCGCCTGGAAGAGTTCAAGGAGCACATGGAGCAGGGACCGCCGGAGCCTGAGCGAGCGGGGTCAGACTCCGCTCTGGACAGCCCTGCGATCTTGCCTCCCCCTGGCCATCCCTCTCCCACCAGACACGCGCCGAAGCCAACCATCCACATCCAGACCTCCTACCCTGAGGTAGTGTTCTGCCCACCATGTCTGTTATCAATTCATCTCATTAAATGTAATGGCAGAGTGCGATAGGTGTTGGGCTGTGAACCACGAGGTTAGCAATTCGAAACCAGCACGCTCTCTGAGGGAGAAGGATGAGGCTTTCTAGTCCCATGAAGAGTGACACTCTCAGAAATCCGCAGGGCCAGTTCTAAGTTCTGGCCTGTCCTCCAGGGTCAATGCAGAATGGACTCAATGGCAGTGTGTGGGCGATAACATCCGGGGCCCCCTCACCTACACAGCACTTACTCATTTTAAAGAAGAGAAGACCCGGTTCAAGGAGTGTTCTCACCAAAAACAAACTCACTGCCATCGAGTTGATTCTGATGCCTAGCGCTCCTGGAGGGCAGGGTGGAACGGCCCCGCGGTTTCCTCTACGGTCACTCTTCACGGGAACAGATGGCCTCATGTTTCTCCACGGGGTGGGGTGCGAGGCCGGATTGGCTAGAGGATCAAATCCAGGGGCACTCACATACGTGTACCACGGAGTTTCTATCAAGACGTACTCGTATATCAGGAGAACATGCCAGCCTGGTCCAGATCACGCCGGACTAAGTCTGATACTATTCCAGATGTCCCTCTTCAGACTCACGCAGCCGTGTTGCAAGGATGCAGAACGCAGGAGAGCACAGGCCAATGGGGGCAGGGTCGTGTAGCTCCAATAGCAGGCGCTGCATCATAGGGCTTTGGCCACCATCAGGGTCAGCCAGCAGGAAGGTGAAGGCTGAGAGAGAGAGAGAGATTCCCAGGGTCCTCCTTATGAGAAGGCCACCTCCACCAGGAGGTACCATCAGGCTGCGGCCTGATTGACAGGCTAGACTCCACCCCTGCACTTTTATATAGAGAGTTGACATGACATTATGTAACTACCCCCAATGGGTGGTGGTTTCCAATTGCTGACCTTGCAGGCACCAGCCCAACACAGAGCCCACTAGGCCACCAGGGCTCCTGCTAATGTAACAACAGTGCGAGGGCGAGTCCCCGTGGTGAGAATCCAGTGGGAAATGGACAGAAAAGGATGAGCTCTACTCCGTCCTCACGGGGCTCTCTGCCCAGATGGAGGTGGGACGAGTTGCACAGCAATTTTGTTACAGTGTGTCATCGGCGGGCTGCAAGATTGACAGGGCTCTGTGCGCGTGGGCACCAGGTAACAGGGCTGAGCTTGAGGCATCCGAGAAGCTTTCCCGGAGGACTGAGGCGTGAGGAGCAATAGCCAGCTGCAGAAGGAGGAATGCCACCGGGCAGCAGAAGCGGGCTGTGCCAAGGCCCTGTGGCTGGAGTGTGGAGAGCGAGGGGCACAGTTGTCTGAGATGCGGCCGGAGAGGCCGGCAGGGGCCACGAGATGAAGGGTTTGGCGGGTCACGTGAAGAGAGTGGTTGTAGACTGCTGGACCTTTCCGACAGAAGAGGTATGGCTTAGAAGAAGGTGAAGGTAGAACCAGCCAAGGGGAGGGCAGGGAAGGGTAGATGGAGAGATGTGTGGACTTGAGAGAGGCCGAGAAGGTGGGTTTGACTGGCCTTAAGGTGACGAGGGAGGGAAGGGAGTGGAGGACAGCCTCCAGGCTTCCAGCTGGGAGAACCGATGGGTGATGGGACCATTTGCAAAGACGGAATACACTAGCTAAGGACCCCACGTGGGAGAAGCTCTGTAGAATGTTCTCCAGCCCACACAGACCCCGGTGAGACAGTTACCCTCTCATTGTGCAGCGGAGCAAACTGGCAGTGGTGGGAGATCTCCATGCCCCTAACCTCCCCGCTGTCCCTGCTGCCGAGGACCGGAGCAGGGGGAAGGGCCTGGTGTGTTAGGAGGGGCAGGGAGCTAGGAGGGCGCTGAGCATATGATCCCTGGCAGACGAGGTCTTGGTGGCCCGCTGGTTTGGGGAAATGTTTCTTAGAATATCCCTTGTCCCTGAGGGTATGAAGCGCTCCCTGCAGAATCTCATGCTCTCCGGGGTAGAAACACAAGTGTGTGGAAGTGAGGGGTCCGGAGACATGCTTCTGCCCCAAAAGTTGGGCCAGGTATCAACTCTGTCACTTGCTCTGTGTGACTTTAGGGAAACCATTCTGCCTCATGGAACCTGCGTGCAGAAGGGGTGGGGGAGAGCAGCACGGTGTCATGGTGACTTGGTGTGTGGGGAGTGTCTGGCACACCGTAGGCACTCAATTTACAGGAGCCGGCTCTGAAGCTCCTGGAGCCCGCTCCCCACCGAGTGCCCACACAGTAGGAGGGTGGAAAGGTGAGTGGGTCCGTCAAGTGCACGTTTCTCAGCCTGGCAGGAGGGCAGTGCTTGTGTCCAAAGATGGTGTTGGGGTCTTTTCTGATCCTGTGTCCCTGCGCCTTTCTGGTCCCCAGCCTGACACCATGGAGACTGCCTCCTGCTCTTTGCACGAGAGCAGGGAGGTGGAGGGCAGACCCTGGGAGCTCCCAGCCCCACTCAGGCATAAGGAACTGCAGATGGAGCAAGACCCCCATGGCCTCCTGGAGCAGTGAGTGCCCCCACCCCACTAACCCCCCTAACCCCACCACCTCCCCACCCCCGTGGCCCAGGAGCAAGGCCACTCCTTAGCCTGGGTGGCTGGACCTCGTCTGCACCTGCTGGGCAGAGGTCATGGCCCTGTGTGTGCTCGGTTGCAGGTGTCTTGGCGTGAAGTCCCTGTCCAAAGCCCTCAGGGTGGAGGAGGACAAGGAGGAGCAGCTGCGTGGCCTGGAGGTTGACGGGCCGACCCCAGCTCCAGGGAAAGGAGGGGCCACGAGGCGCACCCCCAGGCAGCTCTCGGGACATAGCGAGAGAAGTCACAGCACCCCCATCAGGTATGTCAGCAAGCTTCCCTCCCCTCGAGTCTCTGAAGCCCCGGGTGGCCGTGTGTCTGAGGGGTAGTGAGGTTCACGGGGAGCTGGGCCATGGGCAGCGCTCACACGGTTGATGGCGCGTGCGACGACTTGGGGTGATGATTTCAGTTGGACCGACTGGCCGGCGCTACATAGCATCACCTCCTTTTCTGTCTCAGTGTGTTGCCCCAAGGAGAGGGTCTCTATCATGGCTGGAAAGCCTCTCCATGTGCCTTTCCAAAGAGAGAGGAAGGAAGGAAGCTTCTAGAACGCGATGCCGTTGGGTCTGTGTTTCTTGTATTTGCTTGCCTTTCATCTTTTTAAAATTGCGGTCAACGTGCACATATTAAAAAACGAGGCCTCGGCTGTTTCCGCAGCGTCTCCTTACAGCTACTAAGACATCTGGAAGTGGCCAAGGGCTCATTCTATATGTACGCACACCCTGGTGGCGGCGTGGGTACAGGGTGGGCTGCTAACCACAAGATCAGCAGTTTAAAGCCACCTGCTGCTCTGCAAGAGAAAGATGAGGCTTTCTACTCCCGTAAAGAGTTACAGGCTTAGACACCCCTGGGGGCAGTTCTACCCTGCCCAATAGGGTCGCTAGGAATCGGAGTGGGATCGACAGCAGGGAGTTATACAAACATTCAAGGGGCATTAATTACTTCCCCCATGTTGTACAACCTTCATGACTATCCACTTCTAAACTTGGCCATCATCCCTGATAGAAACTCAGTGCCCCAGGCGGTTTGTTTTCTGTTGTCCTTTGGGTGGTGGACAGAACAGAGTGGTTTTCCACCGGCCACCTGTGCACACGTGTCTCCTGACCTTGTTTGCAGTCCCCTCCGCGTGACAGCACCCCTTCCCCTACCCGCCCACCGCCACCCCCAGAGTCCCTGTTACCGCCTGTCTTTCTTCCCTGCCCCTGCCTCCTTCTGAGAGTTGATTTTGGTCAAAAACTGCCCATTGGGTATCTCCTTCCCTCAAGTCTTGTACAAGGGGCTTCAAATAATCATGGAAAAATGGAATTCAAAGGTAACGGAATTCTTCCACGAACTTTTGAAGCCCCTCATTTTTACAAAGGGCTTTCTGTTTGTAACATGCAACACCGGTCTATTCATAATAGAATAAACAGCACTTTAAGGAGATGGCTGAAATAGGGAAGATGACCTACAAATTCCAGAGGTGGGACCCGCACTCATTGTTCTCATGGTGTCTGGCCTGCTGGGTGGGTTTTCTTAGTATCCCCTTCTCAGAGCCGGGGAAAGTGAGGCTCAGAGAGGGGAAGTGCCTTGCCCAAGGGCACACAGCTAGAAGCTGTGGAGCCAGGATGGGCACCTGGTGTTTACGTTGTGCTTGGTGGTGGTGTAGGTATGTGATTGATGGGTTTGGGGTGGGTGGTGTAGTTGGGGGTGTGTGACGGTGGTTCCATTTGATGGTGGTGTGGTTGTGTGTTTGATGGGTGTGTGTTTGTCATGATTGTGGTCTCAGGGTCAGGGCTGCCTGGCCCTGCTGGGGCTCAGAGTTGGCACACTGCTTTTGTCCTGCCAGAGAGACCACGGAGCAGCGGGTGTTGGAGAAGCCTGCGGGCTCCCAGGTGTCCATGGCCAGAGACGGGTGCTCGTCGGGCCTGGGCAAGGCTGAGACAGCCCCTCCACACCCCTCTGGAGGCACCAAGTCCACGGCGTCCCACCAGAGCAGTATGACTAGCTTGGCGGGCAGTGGCATCTCTGACCGCCTTCCACAGAAGTCCTTCCGGCAGAACTGTGGAGCCCACCTGGAGGTAAGTCCACCTGGGGCAGGGGCGCTCAGGTTCAGAGCCTCAGGGCCATTGTGTGGATCATGTAGAGCTGTCTGTCCTCCCCCTCCATGCAACCCCCTTGCCCTCCCCCCACCAATGCCTGCTCGCATGCCTGACAGTCATACCCCAGCTCTTTATCTGGGCGTTCGGCCAGTGCCACCTCGCTGCTGTGGTCCCTACTCCAGCCCCATCCCCCTGCCAGGAGCTCTTGCCCCTCTGAATGCTTGCCTCTCCCAGCTGTCTGTCATACTCGCTGGCTACCTCCTGACACTGTGTCCCCTTAATGCCAGAAGAGCAGGAAATTCACATGGTTGTCGGGATCACCAGCCATTGTGAAGATGTGGCTGATGCCCCACATCCTTTCAGACCTGTGCACTGAACACCCTCTGGAGTCCACTTCTACTGGAGATCATGGATCTCCATGCTCTGGGTTGGTGGGGGAGTTGTGTGTGTGTGATGGGTGTTGGTCTTGGTGTTGTCAGTGTCTGTGTGTGATGGGTGTTGGAGTTGGTGGTATAAGGTTGTGTGTTTGATGGGTGTTGGCTTGGTGATGTCAGTGTGTGTGTGTGTGTGTGTGTGTGTGTGTGTGTGTGTGTGTGTGTGATGGTGGCTGGAAGTGGGGTCGGTGTGCATGTGTGATGGGTTTTATGTGCGCAGTACATCAGGGAGGCCATGTCTGCTGGCAGAAAAGGCAGAGGAATCCCAGGTCCAAGCCAAGAGTCCCTCGGGAGCCAGACTGTGTCCTCCTCCTCCTGTCTCAGGATGTCTGCTACATCTACTTCTTCAGGTTCTTCACCCCTTACTCCTCAGGGGAGCAGGGCACTCCAGACACTGGGACTGAGCCTGGACCTGAGGACCCTCCCACCCTGGGCCTGGCCCACTGGGCTCCCAGAGAGCCGCCTCTGGCATGTGACCCCAGGCCGGCATCTCGAGGGCTTCCCAGTATGGCTGGGCACGTGCCTCAGACGGAAAGGGACACTGTCTTTCAGGAGCCCTGGATGGCATCCCCGGAGACAGACAGTGGCTTCGTGGGCTCAGAAACCAGCAGAGTGTCACCCGTCACCCAGACTCCAGAGCACCGGCTCTCCCATATCAGGTGCTCAGGGGAGCCCCTCTGTTGTCCCGTCAGGTGTCCACAGACCTGGGTGCTCTTGGAACCAGAGCCAGGAGTCCCCAGTCTGAACGTTTATTCTGACTTCCCAGCGCTGGTCTGAGGTCCTCTTGGGCACAGAGCGCCCGAGGGGGCTAGGGCTGTGTTCTTTGTCACTCCATCAATGAGGGGCGCCCCCAAACAAGGAAAGGAGTGAATGAATAGATCAGAATGACAGGGGGAGGAGAGAGGTGGACAAAGGGCACACTCGGTGACTCTCTGAGTACCACGGTGGGCGGAGAGGGTTTGGGGACTCATCTAGGGGCCCCGTGCAGAGTGGCCACTTCCAAAGCCAGGTGCCGGCAAGAAAGTACTAGAAATTCTATTTCTCTTTATATTAAAACAGAACGCAAACCCACCTGAGCTGTATTGTTTTGTGAGCACCGGCTGGCAGATGTGCGGCTCTGTATTCATAAAGAGGTGCACGTGTGAGGCCTGCAGCCGCAGGAGTGTCCTATTGCCAGCGTTGCCAGTCCCCAAGGCTGGAGCTCGCCGCCTTAGCAAGTGAAACTCTCTGTGTGACCTCAATGAGTCTCTCTCTCTCTCTCTCTCTCTCGGGTTCTCAGCACCCCAGGGACACCAGCCCGGCCCTTCCCTACATCTGTGACCCAGGATGGAACCTCCCCTTCTAGGACCAGGGGCCCTCTGGTGCCCAGAACAGCCTCTGAGCCCAGCACAGGCAGGAGCCGGGCCCAGAAGCACCTCTCTAGCCCAGGCAGCCCTGTCCAGCAGGAAGCACCCAGCTTTCGCCTGGGACGGACGTTGGCTCTAGAGATGGGTGAGTGGGCGAGTGGGATGGGCTAGAATCGGAGTGGCCTGACCTCATAGAAATAAAACAAGACAACTCCCCACAGAAAACCCGTCTTGCCCTTTGGAATACAAGATGCACTGGTTAACTGGGCACATGTGAAGTTGCCTGTGTGTGCCAGCACTTGTCGTATCAGCCCTGAGTCAGGGTGACCCCAGGCACAATGGGACCGGGCTGTGGGCGTCCAGAGGGTTTTCAGGGCTCGTTGCTGGAAGTAGGCCTCCAGGCCTTTCTTCCTAGTCTCTCTTAGTCTATAAGCCCCACTGAGACCCATTCAGCATCATTGTCTCCTCCGCTGAGGGGCATGAGCTGCATTGGCCTCAGCCTGAACCCAGGTCTCCCTTGGGGAAGGCAGAAACCCTCTCACTCAGCCTGCACTGTGGTCAGAACAAACAGTCACTCCCAGCATCATGGGCCATGCCAGTGAGCAGCTTCCTATGCTGATGTGTGTGTGTGTGTGTGTGTGTGTGTGTGTTCACACCCACACATACCAAGGGGCTTCAACCAGTTCGTGGGAACATTCCATGATTGTTTCGTTGCGTTGTTCCCACAAACCTTCTGAAGCCCCCTTATGCACGTGGAAACACACACGTGCAAAGGTGTAACTCACACGTGTAAAGGTGTGCTCACCATTTCAGAGGGACACTGAAGCCCTGGGATGTCAGGGGCGCTAGCCCCTGACAAATCATCACACGCTCAGCAGGTGCAATTGTACAGCAATAATAAGTAAAGATTATAGTAAAGTCATAGAGAATAAGAGAGAGAGAAGAGAGAATGAAATCAAGGAGTCAGACACATTTCATGGTAGCATGCTCACCTTAGCCCCACTTGGTGGTCCACATGGAGATGGGAGACAGGAGGGCAGGAGAGGGGACTGGAGGAGAAGGGACCAGAGGAGAGGGGATGGGGGAGACAGGACTGGGACCAGGGGAGAGAGGGCCAGGGGAAAGAGGCATTGTTATTGTTTGGGGGCTTTTGTAGTTAGCCATTAGTCATGCATATTCAGGAGTTACATACGTCACAAGGTGGGTGGGAATCTCAGTAAAGTTCCTGAGCTCACAGGTGAGGAAACCTAATACCTGCATTGCGGGAAGACGTGAGGGGGGATGGGTGCCTCAGTGGGAGGAGATGGTCAAAGAATATCTGCCTCTACAGGGAGACAGAACCAACCATGTGCTCGCTTTAAGGCAGCATAGCTGTTGGGGGAGAATCTGCAGGAATGACATTTGCTCATTTCCCACACTAGGACAGCCCCAAATTGCACTGAGAGGTGCACAATGAGTCTGGGGGAGCGCAGGCAGCGGGCAGAGCCCCTCTTGGAGGAGGGGCTGTCTTGGGGATGTGGCTGGGATGCTGTAATGGTGGGCAGCTGGAGGAGGTGCTCATGAGCAGTGGCTTTGGGGGCCTATCCTAGCGCCCCAAGTCCATCTGCAGGAAGGCACATATCCTAGTTCTAAGGCCAGAGGGCCCCTCACCGGCCTCATCAAAAATGTCACTCATGATCTCTTGTGAACCCCTGAATGTGAGCCCCAAGGGCCCTCTCTGTCGTAACCTCACTCTGGTCTCCGCCTGTCTGCCCACAGCACCTTCACCGGAGCTCAAGGGACCCAAGCGGATTTCTGAGCATCTTCTTCCCAAGAGGGCACCCAGCCCACCCCCCACCCCGGCCTCTGCAGCTGCCCCTCTGACCCACCCGCCAACAGAGACCCCCAGCCTCCTCCTCAATCGGATGGGGCGAGAGTAAGTGGACTCCTCGGGGAGGCGGACTGGAGGCATATTTGGGCAGGCAGCGATGCATTTGAGAGGAGAAGTTTGGGCTGTGGGGCCCATAGGACTTGGCGGTTGGTTGACGCTCGGGGGTCTTCAGGGGGGTGAAACAGAAGAGTCTGAAAGGACTCTGATTTCCGGCTGGCCTGTCTGCTGGATGTGGAGGGCAGGTGCAGGGACAGGGGCACAGGAAGGGGAGTGGCTCTGCAGGGGAAGATGAGGCTTACGTGCCAGCTAACGGGGACGCCAGCGTGAAGTCAGGAGAACTGAGCTCCGGATACAAAGAGACAGGGGGGTCTTCCCAGCCCCCAGTCTCACACACCAGCCTTTCTGAGTCCTTCCCTCCCTGCACCCCCAGGTGCACTCAGCTCGGCCTTCCAGGGGTTAACTAGTGGCGGGTACCCTTTCTTAGCGACCTACCCCTCACGATTGGCCTCAGAAAACCCAACACTGTCTCCCTGGGGATTGCCAAGGAACCAGCGTCCCTAGGCTGCACAGCATGCCGGGGCAGAGCCTGAACAGGGTGGCCCCTCCCCCGGCATGCTCATCTGAGCTGTCTGCTGGAAGCAGCTCTGGGAGACAATCTCTGGGATCCAGAGACCACTAGGCAGGAGCTCACCCTGAGGAGAGGCTACACCTGCACCCTCACCGGGAGCAAAGCTGGCTCCCACATAGCTGCAGGGCTGACCCCTGTCTAGAGGACAGCCTCGCAGAGCCTGGGGTGCTGTGTGTGTGTGGGCAGGAGGGGGCGGTCTGGGAGGAGTTGCAGACACGCAGTGCCAGCGGTGAGAGACTCGGGCCTGAAGAAAGGGAAATGCAATGCAGACAGACGGTTGCAGGTAAGAGGCCGAGTGGGGGTTGGCCGTGTTCCACGGATGACAGACCTGCCTCCTCCGGCCTGCTCCCGGGTGCTCAGCCCTTGCAGTCCTGGCAGGGTTGGGGAGAACCCTGCTGTCTCCTGGACTTTCTTCATGCCCTGCCCTCTCCTCTGCTCCCTCTTGAAGCCTGGCACCCAGCTCAGTAATTCTCCCGTGTTCCTGGGAGATGCCAGGGCCCAGGGGTGACAGGGTGGGGAGACCTCCTCCCTGCCAGCCAGAGGGGCAAAGAGACACTCTGAGCAACGGGCCCCCCCCAGGAGGAGGCTGAGCCAGGGTGGTCGGATAAGGTCTGGGTGGTGGGGATTTCGGCGGGTAGAAGACGGAGGAGGAAGGCAGCCCAGGGCCCAGGGCAGGTCAGCTCAAACATAGAAGCAGAGTCGTGGCCTTGCCCTGGTCCCTGGCCTGCCATAGCTGTGAGGTCCAGCGTGTTGAGGGGGTGTCTGTTATTCAGGGGGAGGCGCCATCCTGCTCAGCAAACAGGCAGCAACTTGAGCTCAGAGGGACGAGCCAAGGCTCCGGGCGAGTTCTGGGACCCTCCAACACAGGGGCAGGCCTGCTGTCTGGTCCGGGCAGCACTCAGAGAGCTCCGTTCTTCGTGTCTTGTCTCCCACCCACCCCAGCCAGGCCATCCAGGAGCTGCAAGAGGAGGTGTCCAGACTCCGCCTGCAGCTAGAGGACAGCCTGCACGGGCCAGCCCGCCCAGCCTCCGCCTCCAACCGCCCCACCCGGGCCCGCGCCCGGCCAGCAGATTCCTCGGTCACCTGGGGCTCCCACTTGGGCAGGTGTGTGCCCCCACATTCCTTGGTAGTAGCCATGGCCAACAGACTTGGTCAGCCTCCCACCCTCCCAGACCAGTGGGCTCACCCTGCCACTCACTCTCCCACTCACTTCATGCCCACTCTTTCTGCCACATAATGTTCGCTGCCCTCTGGATCGCCAAGGCTGTCAGTTTTTATTGGAGTAGAAAACCTCATCTTTCTCCCACAGAGTGGCTGGTGGGTGTGAACCCATGACCGCATGGTGAGCAGCCCAGCGTGTAACCCACTGCACCACCAGGGCCTTCCAGACAGTAGAGCACAGTACAATGGATGTTCTTGGAGCCAGCTAAGAGCTAGAGCATTTTGGGGGGGATACCAGCCCTCCCACCAGCTCGCTCACACGCCTTTCCCTTGACAATGCTGAGTTATAAAGCAGCTCTTCTTGCTGAGTGTTTTCTGGGGGAAAGGACCGCAGGAGGATTTTATAGACATGCTCGCATGAATCCTCTCAGCAACCTCTATGGTTAGGAAGCCCATTTAAAGAGGGATAAATGACGGTCACAGGTGCCCAGAGCCATTTCCTGAGAGCGCGGCTCCCTCGTCCCTGACCTTGTCTGCTGGGCTCTCCTCCCTACTGTTACAAGTGTTTCTCCGGGCTGCCCTCCTTGCTGGACATCTCTCAGGGCTGCCCTAAGAGTGGGACCCAGATAACATGGTCTGCTCTCCTTTGTCAGTAAATCCACAGAGAGGTTGTCTGCGGAGCCCGGGGGATAACATGGTCTGCTCTCCTTTGTCAGTAAATCCACAGAGAGGTTGTCTG